CGCGTGTACCTTCCGGCTGTCACCCCGCGAAGGGGATGACATTGAGGGTTGGTCTCCTGCGACCGCCCGTGACCCTCAAGGTCTCGCGGGCGTGGGCCAGGCGCCGGGCGGGCCGCGCGTGGCCTCACCTGTGCGGGAGGCGGCTCCGCCCCTCCCCCGCCCTCCATCCTCCCTCCGCCCCGCTTCCCTCCTTGGCCGCACGAAACCTTGCGGGGGGGACTTCGTGACGCCCTCCACGCGTTAGGCTTCCAGCTTTCTTGTTTTCCTTGCAGGTCCGACCGCCGGGAGGAAGCGGGAGGGAAGATGCCGTCCGAGTCTTTCTGTTTGGCCGCCCAGGCTCGGCTGGACTCCAAGTGGTTGAAAACGGACATACAGGTGGGGCGCTGGGAGGGCCCCTGGAGGGTGCGGGGGGTACCGGGCGCATCTGCCGTCCTTAGGCAAGCGGGTTATTGTTTCCGTTTTTACTGCTGCTTTTACGGGTTGTGTGGCTACATTGTAATTACAGTTACTTGTAAGTGGGAGAAAGTTGAGACCTAGTTGCGCGGAATTTTTTGTTGCTGTTTTTAAGAGGCCTGTATCACTCTCGGCCACTCCTGGGTGACTGACAGTGTGTAAGATGTTCGGTTACTTACCTGGGGGAGAAGTGACAAGCGGTAATTTGTGATGTTCCGAAGGGACTGACTGTGTTTTGGGGAGCGTGTGCTTGTGCTCCTGGAGTGACAGGTTCAGCGGAGTAGTTTTGTCTTTGTGATGGGCCTTAAAGAAGGTTTTTGCATCAGAACCATGTGGCAACAGCTCGCAGGGCAATATACAGATGATGTGCTATAGAATTATACGCTTGAAACCCATATAATCTTATTAACCTGTGTCACCCTAATAAATTTAATAAAAAAAGAACACGTGGAAACAAACGTTGGCCCTAGACTCTGTAATGTTTTGACTTCATCGGATAATTGCAAGCTTGCCCAGAAATTACGGAGTAGATAATAGCTGTAATATTTCTGTGGACTGCCTTCACCGCAGGTTATTTTTGTGTGCAGGTGACTGGGAAAAACTACTTTTGTAACATGTTACCAACAGAAAGAAACGTCTGAAATACTTTGTAGTGTATGTGTTTTCCTCCTCTTCCCTGAGGATAAACATTTTAACTATTCCTCAAGTAATCTGCCTTTTTAAATACAATCTTAAGTACTGCATGATGGTTTATCAAGTGACAGATACCCGTAGTGAAGGATAATTGCTCTTCTTTACTTTTTTTTTAAAGTGCTGAGTCCTGGTAGATAACAAGAGCCAGGAGTTTTAGATTTCTTAAGGTTTATTTTATTGATTTTTGAGAGGGTGGGGAGAGAGAAAATGAAAGTGAAACACACTGATTTGCTGACCCACTTATTTATGCCTCATTGATTGATTGTTGTATGTGCCTGACCAGGGATCAAACCCGCAACCTTGGTGTATCGGGATCACACGCTAACCAACTGAGCTGCAGAGCCAGGGGAGAGCCCAGTGCTTAGAACTATGCTGTGGATAATGGATTGTTATTAGTGGTGCAATGTTAGATGGGAAAAGTACAAAGAATTGGGTCAAGAATTGGCATAGTAGTGACTCTGTTGGTTATTGTCTTTTATTTAGCAATTCCCGCCTGTTTTCCTTTGTCATGTTTTTTTGAGCGGGGCAGGTGAGAGATAATTTCTTATTTCTGAAATCTTGAGACTCAGGCACACTGATTTTAAGAGTTATTTTCATATTAGTGTTTATTTTTAGGGAAACTTTCTGAAGTGAAGTACTTTACCTAATGAAATTTTTTTCCCCTTAGTAATCATAATTGAGTAATTGCTAAATATGAGTTTCAGCATCTTGATCTAAAATCAGTGTAATGCTGAGTTGAGCGCCTGCGATGAGTCTGGCAGACATCCATAAAAAGAAATACCACTTCGGTCTTAGGAGTGCTTATCGGTTTACTTATTCAGAAGTCTTCCAAACTCCTCCTGGGGCAAATGAAGAGGCCTAGGTGTTGGACAGTGCACCAGAGGAAAAATGTGTTGTGGATGTCGAAGCTGTGTAACGTCGTGAGAAAGGTGATTGCTGGTTTTATAGACCTACTCCAGCATTGCTTACGAAATGTGAGGAATGAATGTCCTTGTTTCACCCTAAGGAATGGCTTAGACATAGGTTCACTCTTCGGAACCCTTCCTGCGGTCACACATTGGGCATGGAGCCTTACACTAACAGCTTTATCTTCTTGGGGATGTCTCTCCCACCTGCAGTGAGAAGTGTCCCATTTCTTTGTATTGGGAACAGAATTGACACCTAGTTAATTTTATTTTTTAAAAAATATATCTATTGGTTTCGGAAAGGGAGAGAGAGAGAAACATCAATGATGAGAGAGTCATTGATCGAGCCCACCACCCGAGCATGTACCCTGACCAGGATTCGAACCCCGATCGCCCGGATCCTAGGTCAATGCTCAACCGCTGAGCCCCGCCTGGCCCAGCGACACCTGGTTAATTTTAAAAGCTGACATTCATGCTTAATCATTTTAACTACCTAACAGGTGGGGTAGAAGCATGTTTCTTAGCCACAGAATTTAGCAAGTCCATTTTCTGCAGCTGTTTCTGTTTGAAATGCCCTAGAAGTTTATAGTGATCTTGGAAAGGAAAAGGTTATGGAGACCGAAAACTTTTAACGTGTGTATATTAAGAACGGAGATACTGATTTGAGACTTTGTTGATTGTCAACGTTTAGATGTTTCGGCCTAGGGCCTGGCCACCAGCTGCCTCTAATGGAGTGCCCGTTACGTGGCAGGCCCTACCTGGTTTCTACATACACGCTTTCTGTTCTTTCACCGCTGTTTCCTGATTGCTGTGTGGAGTCCCTTGAATCATCATGTTTTCCTTTACAACTATTGGAGGGCGATATAGTCACTCCCGCTGCTGACTTTCTATTTACAGTAAAAGTCCTGTCTGATGGTGGTAGGTTTTTCAGTGAACCAAAAAGTCAATTAAGTAAAGGAGCTGTAAAAAATAGTACGTGATACCTTGGCTCTGGCCAGTGTGGCTCGGTTGGTTGGCGCGTCATCTAGTATATGAAAGGTTGCCTGTGCGGTTCCAGGTCAGGTCAGGGCACGTACCCAGGTTTTGGGTACAGGTGCGTACAGGAGGCAAGCCATTGGTGTTTCTCTCCCCTCTCCTTCGTCTCTCTCTAAGATCAATAAAAGCATATTTAAATAGTACATGATCCTGTAAAAAGTTTTTATTTTTAAAACATATGCATATTTATTTACTAGTCTGGATGTAAGGGTAAGGCTCCAAGAATGGCGTTTATCCTGCTCTTTCTTGCATAAGCTGTGCTCAGATGAATTTCCTACAGTTTCTATTTTTGGGTTCTTTGAAGTAGAGCATGAAATTAGATATGTATGAAGCAATTTTTTGAAACTTTTTATTTGGAAATAATAATAGGCGCCCAGGAAGTCGTGTAGAAAGTAGAGAGGTCACTGCATAGTCTTCAGCCAGGCTCCCCCAGTGTTTACGTCTTATGTAACAGTGCACGGTACTGACGGCAGGAAATGGACGGTGGTACCGTGTGTGTGGCTCTGTGCCACTTCGCCACGTGTAATCACCGCCACAGTGGAGATTCAGAGCTGCCCCTTCCCCTCAGAGCTGTCCCTGCTGCCACTCTCCCTCCCCCATCCTCTCTCCCTGGCAGTCACTAATCGCCCCATCACTATAATTTTGTCATTCGAGAATGTCATACGGTATGTGACCTTTTGAGATTGGCAAAATGCCCTTGAGGGCCATCAGAATTGTTGAGTGTATCAATAATTAAACCCAGACCATTTATTCGTCTCTTCTAATTGTCAGCTTAAAATGATTAAGCATGAATGTTAGCTTTTAAAATTAAATGTAAAATCATTAAATGTGTATTCTCACTTTACGCTTCAAAATATCAGTAGATTAAAAAATGGAAATACAAACATCTTGGTAAGTTCTATTCTCAGGTTTTACAGTTGAGAGATGAGATGTAGAAATAAAAGGATTTTCTAAATACAGTTAATTTATGTTCATAATGACTTGTGATTACTTTCATGTGTTTTTATTTATGTTTTGGTTATATCATTATATTTTGGGTCAGCTTTGTCAGAGTTTATACATTTTATTAGCCTTTTTTTTAAAGAACTGACTTCTAGCTTTGGTTTTTGGAAAAGACTAATAGTTTTAGGGAAAGGAAATGAGTTTACTCTTCGACTTGACAACAAGGCTTTATTGGAAGAAAATTGAGTGACATATTTCAGGTACCAAGAAAAGAAAATGTGAGCGCACGATTTTATGTTCTAGCAAAACTGACCTTCCAGTTAACAAGTACACCAACTCATCAATGAGTGAGAATTCAGGATACGCTGTTTCCACAAGTCCATCCTGAGGAATTGAGTAGACAGACCTTTATTTTTTTGTTTTTTAAAAATATATCTTTATTGATTTCAGATAGAGGAAGGGAGAGGGGGAGAGTCATTGATTGGCTGCCTCCTGCACACCCCCTGCTGGGGATTGAGCCCGTAACCCAGGCCTGTGCCCTGACTGGGAATCGAACCTTGATCTCCCGGATCCTAGGTTGATGCTCAGCCACTGAGCCTCGCCCGGTTGGGCGAGTAGACAGATCTTCAGACAGTAGATTGACAGGAAGACGGGCGCTGGGCACTGAACCTGTAGTTGAGTGTAGAACCCAGATTAAATGAGTTTTAAAAGGGAGAGAGCATAGACTCTAATAGCTATATGCCTAGACCTGGTAGGTTATAATGAATTTGTTCTGCAGTGTCCAGTCCGTTGAGGCTGTGCATCGAAGTTTTCACTTGTGTTTTCCATCTCTGGAGAGGCCCTTCGGGTCCTTTTTTTACACTTTTGGTTTCACTTGACACCCTTTTCATAGTTTCTTTGTCAGCACGTTGAGCATATCTGTGGCACAACTTTGTTTTTCTTTTAAATCCTCAACCGAGGGCTTGTTTTCATTGATTCTTAGAGGTAGGGAAGGAGGGGGAGGGAGAGAAACATTGATGTGTGAGAAACATCAATCGGTTGCTTCCTGTCTGAACCCACAGCCCAGGTGTGTGCCCTGACTGGGAGTCAGGTCCTCAGCCTTGGTGTATTAGGACGGTACTCTGACCAACTGAGCCTGGCCAGGGCCTGGTAATTTTATACTGAATGCTTAACACTATAAATATATGTCATTCTGTGTTGGGTTTTGTTTTATTTCTTTGAGGAGCCTTAGTTTTGTCTGGTATGCATGTCAGTTACTTGGGGTCAATTTGGCCTTTCCAGAGCTTGATCCTCAGGTGTGTTTGGGCTGACCTAGCACAGCCTTTAGTCTTGGGCTGATTCATCTGC